GTGACCTGTCAGTAAAACAGGTAACGAATCGACACTTCCTTCCACGCCTATACTGAATCCTATTGCACTAGATTTATTTTCAAAGTTGAGTACAAATCCCTATTTGTCTTAAACATTAAAAATTTTAACATTAGGATGTTCTCTGTCATACTGTTATATTATCATCGGCTATGTAGTAAATACATAGTATGAGCGTTCATTGACATAACCCGATACCAGTCAGAAAATAAAACCGACTCATTAGTAGAATCACTGATGAGTTTTCACAGCATTTCTGATCTTTGTCTGCTTTTTTGATTCAAATGATGCCAAGCGTTTTATTCCAGTTACCGACGTCTCAGTGCTGGTTCGTTTGATATTCTCGGTATGTGGAACTTAATTAATCACCTAATTAGACATCTTCGTATGTGTTGCTCGCTGCCAGATGTTGCTCTAATTTTGATGCTCATTTTTGCCGTTTCACTATTGCATATATTTTATCTTAATGCATCAGTTAGACCAATCACTTTTCTAACGGCTTTTAGACTCAGTGTCAACACTTGCAGGAATGAGTTATCACTTGAAGCACAGTCTGGTCGAATATTTTTGGTTTTAAGCCAATTTCCGGGATATGGATGGTTTCTGTCTTCCAGAAATGCTCCATGCCATATTTATTGCTTTGTTCATTTCCAGTAGTCGATTCTCCGTTGCAGTGATGAACTGTCCAAGAGAGACTTGGTTTTGCACTTCTTCAAGTTTAATTCCTTTGACTTGAACAGAACGCGAGATAATGCATTTTTTAAATATGACCCGAGTCTTCTTTGGGTCCAATTTTAGTGCTGATTTGCGTTCAGCTCTTGGATTCTTATCGTGAGCTGTTTTGATAACTTGAGAAGATCAAAATGTGGTCCGCAGACCGCAAGTGGCTTTATCACGGTCAGTGTATGCTCATCTCCTGATTGTTTTAGCAATGGAGCTGATGTGAATAACTTAGATAAAATTGCGTCTCTGTCAGATGTCCTTTTCGATTTACAACTTGCTTGTATTTTTGCGATGTTTCATACTTGCAGTTGCCTTCTTGTAAATCACAGCAATGGCATTTATGTATCTTTTTCCAATTTCGTGAGTTCTCAAATGATTGAATACAAACCGGAAGTAGATTTAGTCGATGGCCTTCTCAATATAAGGCAAACTTCAGGTAGAGTGGAAGCTGATATTCGTTGCTTGTCGAATTACTTGTTGTACCATCTGAGGATGACCTGTCGTACTAAATCCGCTTCTCTGACTGTACATCGTCAAATGTTTCATGAAGTATGCTCGTCAGTATCTTTGTGAAGATTTTGTAGATGATTTGCAACAAACTGATGGGCTTGTAGTTTCTCATGTTCTCTATTTCGCTTTTTGTGAAGTAGGATCGCCGATTCGATGCGTCCAGTCGTTTTGAATTTAATCATTTTGTATCTCTAATTTTATCCTTTTACAGTTTCTTGGAACTAAGTTTATAATTTTTTTATTGATAATATGTTTTACCCCAGACACGTGTCGTTGAAGAATGTCGGCTCAAAAATTTATCTGCACTACATACTTAATCGTAAATTCGAAATTATTTCATGAGAAACAATATTATAAAAATAAACCCGCATATTATGCACCTGCTAATAAATTGCTACTTTTAAATAGCGTCCACAAAAATAGCATTCTCCTGTCGCTTTTCCGAATTCACACGGCGCGATCGCACTGTTTCCTTGCTTTTAGTAATGTTAATGACCGTTTTAAACAGGTCACGGCCCCATGGTCTTTTAGCACTTGCAGTTTTGGAGGCATAATAGCACTGTTTTGTTGGGTCGAATAAAAACGTTTTCGAACAGTAACGGATGTGCCTCAATCCACACACATAATGAAAATAAAGTTTGTGTCCACGCACCTCAGGTGTTAAAATACAATGGAGTTGTGACCTGCTTAAACGGCTACTAGAAGCAAGGGGGCAATGCAGCTGCGTTGTACGAATTCGGAGAAGCGACGGAAGGAATGACGTTTACAATAAACCTAGCAGAATGACAGTTAAAATCAATATAAAACAACGAACTTGTAACGTGAAGTAATGAAATAGAAAGAGATCTATTTTCTCGTTGACTTACACCAAAAGTGTTTAACTGCTGTAAATATGGGGAACATCGCAAGCCAGAGACATTCTGTTTCTGCTAACGGCTAAGGGTGTTGATCTGAAGAGAAACACTGTCAATCACTGTCAATTTATTACGAGGAATGTTGATCGTAAACTTACATGTTATGTACTAAAATGTTTGTGTTGTAGAACGACGACAAGGAGGTGTACGTCGATCCACGATTGTGCGACGTGGTGTGCCGTATATTTACCGCCCCAGAGACGTTAGGCAGTGGTTCGTTTTCTCCGGCATCTGCCGAACAGCTCATACAGTTTTTTTTAAATCTGGCTATCTGCAATACTGTAGTGGTGAATCCTCGTCACCGGGGAGGCATGTCACAACGACCATTGGACACTGTCAGCGCCTCGGTGTCCACCAGCCTCAACGGTAGCACCGTCTCACTAAGCACTTGTACGACCGACTCGAAATTTAATTCAGTACCGAAGGAATCCGTCAAAGCCCCTGACACGTTTCTGCCTTACGCGGCTTCCTCGGCCGAGATTTCTTCGTCGTTCGGCCAACAACCGAACGAGTGCTCATGGGCAGAAAGCGACCGCCTGACCTCCATGCGCCGCACTACTACCTCGATGTCCAGTTTTCCCACTGGAAACGGAAGTGAGTTACCGTTTTTTTACGCATTTCACCTTGGACTTTGT